GGCGCGCGGAGCCCAGCGCGAGCCCAGGCTGCGCGCCGCCGCCGCCGCCGAGGACCGCCCCCGGATAGCGTCACTTCCGGGAGGCTGTGGCCACGCCCCCTCCCCAGGGCGTGCTCGCGCTGGCCTCGGCGGAGCGTGACGTTGAGTGCAGCCCGGGCCGCTATTGGCGGTGGGCGGCTTCTCGCCTGGCCGTTGGTCCCCTGGCCCGACCCTTGCTTTTTACTTCCCGGGCGCTGAGGCCGAAGCCGCCCCTCCCCGGTGCGGGGGGAGCGGCCGTGGAAAGCCTGGTTTGGTCCTGGCCGAGAGAGCGGCCGGCCTCTGGGAATACCTGTGATGTGGTCCCGCCTGTGCCGCTTGCGAGGTGTGACCGTGACCGAGTCATTTCTTCATTGACTAACTGTATCCCCGCTGGCTTCCAGTGAATGTTTGTGGAATGACACATGAATAATGTGTGTTCTAGAGCCAGTGGTGTGCTGATAAATGTTGAACAGCTGGCTCTCTGGGGGGAAGAGGGCATTACATGCATATATATATATATATATATGTACATAAGTTTATCATGAATTTTACTGATGTAAAGGTTGTATAGCACACAATTTACAAATGATAACAATAGTATACGATTGCAAATTCTATATAACCAATTGATTCTCAAGAATCCTTTCATTGGCTTTGGTCAAACCCTTGTATGGGTAGCCAACCTGTGGTTTCAGTTGACCAAGGAATCGCAGCATGAAATGTTGGTTGATGTTTTCCTCAATGTCAGTGTAAGAGGAAAATGAAAAAAATAAAGACGGTCTTAACTGGCAATTATGGGAGTGACTTGCTTGCTGAATCAGAAAACAGTTTTCAAATACTGAAAGAATATTCCCTTAATTTGGGGGGCACCTGGGTGGCTCAGTCGGTTAAGCATCTGCCTTCCGCTCAGGTGATGATCCCAGGGTCCTGAGATGGAGCCCACCTTGGGGCTCTTTGCTGGGTGGGGAGTCTGTTTCTCCCTCTCCCTCTGCAACCCCTCCCCACCCCCGCTTGTGTGCTCTCTCTCCCTCCCCCCTCTCTCTCAAATAAATGAATAAAATATTTTAAAAAAGATTTCCTTAATTTTTGTGCTATTCACAATGTAATGGCTACAGGCATAACACATTAAATTTAAATCTGAATTACTAACTTTCCCTCCATCACTTTCTTAAATCTAGATAATCGACAAAACACTAAATCAAGGCCCTGATTTGTAGCATTTGCTGATATCCATGGTGTAAATACTCCCACCATGGCTGATTTCAATTTTCAGAACACAGAGTTACTGAACACGGAGTTAGAAAGAGATGAGCAGTAGCATACCCTTATGTAATAGTTTCATCGTGCAGCTACAATAACAACCCCAGGAACATAGGTAAAGAGTAATAGTAAAATTATTAGAAAGTGATGAGTTTTGAAAATATATTACCTTTATTTTAAACATTTAATTATAAGTGTGCATAATTTAATTTTGAATAGTGGCTGTGTTTCACAACTGGCTTACAAAATTCCTGAAATTTTAACAGTTGACTTTCACAGTCCTGTATGAGCCAGCTTCACAGCATCTTCATACCTCAGTTTTCTCATCTGCAAAATAGGAATAAAGATGACTGCTTCACCTTCTTGCAGACATGCTGTGAAGATCAAATAAGAGAAAGCTTGCTGTGTAGAGGATACTGGACTGGAGGGGAGGGAGAGGACTGGACTGGAGACAGCAGGCCGGGAGATCAGCTAGGAAACTATTGTAATTGGCCCCTGAGAGATGTCGAGGGATGCAAGAGATAAGGAGGAACGATCAGCCAGCCAGCAGAACTTAGCAACTTTGTACCTGAGGGTGCACTGGAGTGAGGAGGGTATGAGTCCTGGAGCCAGAGAGAGCTTTTTAAAATGAAAATTTGTCGGGGCACCTGGCTGGCTCAGTCCGAAGAGCTTGCGACTCTTTATCTCAGGGTCATGAGTTCAAGCCCCATGTTGTGTGTAGAGATTACTTTAAAAATAAAATTAAAATTGGGGCACATGTGTGGCTCAGATGTTAAGTGTCTGCCTTCGGCTCAGGTCGTGATCCCAGGGTCCCGGGATCGAGCCCCATGTTGGGCTCCTGGCTCAGCGGGGCACCTGCTTCTCCCTCTCCCTCTGCCTCTTCCCCTGCTCATGCTCTCTCTCTCTCTTTCTCTCTCTCTCTCTCTATCTCTGTGTCTCAAATGAATAAATAAAATCTTAAAAAAATTAAAATAAAAAAATAATAACATGGAAATTTGTCTATAACCCATGATTATAACCCTTCGTGGTTTCCCATTGTTCTTAGGCTGAAGAGAAAACCCCTTAAGGAGGCCTATGGGGTCCTGTGTGATCTGACCCCTGCTTCCGTCTGGCCTCATCTCCCACCAACCTTCACTTTGTTCTCCCGCCCCTGCAGTTCCGCTAGCCCTGTGTGAGGCTCACACACACATGGCCATTACATAAGCTATTCCCTTTTCTTGAAAGGCTTTTTCCTTCTCTTTTTGCTTAGTAAACTCCTACTCATCCTTAAGTTGAACTCACTCCTCACTACCTCAGGGAAATCTCTCTGACTGGGTCCTTACTTCTCTCCACCTAGCTCCCAGACCGCTCTTTTGTCACACTGACGAAACAGCTGTGATTTTTCATCTCTCCGTGGGGTTATTTGATTAAAATCTGTCTTCCCTACTAAGCTGTAAACTCCACAAGGGCAGGAGCCAGGTTGGCTTTTTGCCCATCATGGACTCTTCCCCATACCAGAGACGCTGCAGGGCACAGAGTGAACCATGGAAATATAAGCGTGGCATGGTTGTTCAACCTCATGCTTTGCAAGGGGCTCCTGATACAAACTCATGTCTAGTTCTGCACAGCACACCATCTTTCCTTGCCCGTGAAGAAACGGACGCTCAGAGAGTTATTTACCTAAGGTCACACAATTCGAAAAGGTACAGTGGAATTCAAAACCACCCACTCTCCTTCAGCTCCCTGGCAGGTGTCATTCAGGTTTCTGGAGAAAAGAAGAGAAATTGCTATAGGATCACAGAACAGCGGAGGCTTTAGAAGACCCCCCAAGATGCCTGGTTGTCTCTGGAAAACCTCCCTAGCCCATGAATGCAAGGTCTGTAGCTCTGCAGCGCCCTCTGCTGTCCAGCTACTTTCTTGGCCTGGGAGGGAAGCTATGTCCCCACCTGGCGTGTCCCCATCTGGGGTCTTTCCACTGCTCCAGAGCACACAGAGGCACAGGACAACACACAGAAGCTCTTTCAAAGGCAGGGCAAGGAATACTGCCTTTCTCCATTTCCTTAAATGTCCAGGCCTGTAGCCCAGGTCCTGGGAAAAAGCACTGAAAATTCACCTTCAAGCAAAGGAAGTGTTATCTTGGGATTTGTGTGTATTTGTTGAACAGGTCTTGTGTCTACGCATATCTCTTTCACTGAGGCCCATCTAGGTGGTCCCTGAAGAGGTAGGACCCTAGTTTCAAAGGTTTGAGAAGAAAAGCCCAGAGAACTGAAACCAGTCCTGAGGTCACTTAGTCATTCAGCAATGGGCTAGGCCTCGGGACTGCAGTGATGAGGGAGATAGGGACTGTCCTTGCCCCTCTGGAGCTCGCCAGCTACTTTGAGTCCTAATCACACCATTTCCCGGATGGATGACCAAGAACAAATAATCTAGTATCTTTGCACCTGTGTTTTATTGGCAAAAAATAGTTCAGTAATAATCCCCCCCAGGGGCTTTTGTGGGGGTTAAATGAACACTTACACAGAAATGCTAAAACATGACACAAACATTAGTAGTTATTATTATGAAAAGCTTCTTGGGGGACCAAAACAATTATTATTGTGTCTTCATACAATGTGTTTATGGCCCTCCACTAACAGTGACCAGTAAGGCCAAGAGCTTGGAATGGGTGTCTTTTCCCCTCCATCCCTCTCTCTTAGCACACAGAATCAGAGAGGCTGAGGAGAGAGCTATGCATGCGTCATAGAGGTCTGACTCCGCTCACCGGCTTCATGGCTTTGAGAAGGTCAGCTGCGCCGGCCTGCAGTTTTAGTTTTGGTTTCCTTTTCTATCGGAGAAAGGCCCGGGCTAGAGGCCCTTCCAGTTCTGCCATCACAGGGGTTCTGCTGGGGGGCTGCCCTCAAGCCCCTCCTCTCCCTCCCACTCTGACGTTCCCACTTAGGATCCAACGCAGAATTGTTTGCAAAGCCCACCGGTAAAGGAAGGGGAGTTTCTAGAAACCACCACCCATCCCTTCCTGCATACAGTCAGTGCTCTGGGACATCAAAGGTTTAAGGGAGTGGGCAGAGCAAGAGAGGAAGAAGCCAAGAGACAGCTTGTGTATGTGGGGCCAGCTCTCTGGGGGGTGGGGAGCACAGCAGTGATGTAAGACAGCAGGAAGAGGAAGGCAGGAGCGTTGTTCTATGGCTACCTGCAAGAATCCACACCCTGCTGGGGCACCTGGGGGGCTTGGTCCATTAAGCATCTGCCTTTGCCTCCGGTTGTGATCCCGGGGTCCTGGGATGGAGCCCTGGGTCGGGCTCCCTGCTCGGCGGGGAGTCTGCTCCTCCCTCTGCCTCTGCCCCGACCTGCCGTTTGTACCTCTCTCTCTCTTTGTCCCAAATGATAAAGGAA